ATGCAGTCGGGAGATGGGAGAAAGTTGTAGAAAGTCAACCATCACTGCAGCCCTCTACCAGTCGGGGCTTTATGGCAGAGTGGCCCGACGGAAGCCTCTCCTTAGTGTAAGACACATGAAAGCCTGCATGGAGTTTGCTAAATAAACACCTGAAGGACTCTGGTCTGATGAGACCAAGATAGAACTTTTTGGCCTTAATTCTAAGCGGTATGTGTGGAGAAAATCAACTGTCCAATACAGTCCCAACAGTGAAGCATGGTGGTGGCAGCATCATGCCGTGGGGGTGTTTTTCAGCTGCAGGGACAGGACAACTGGTTGCAATCGAAGGAAAGATGAATGCGGCCAAGAACAGGGATATCCTGGACAAAGAGTGCTCAGGACCTCAGACTGGGCAGAAGGTTCAACTTCCAACAAGACAATGGCCCTAAGCACACAGCTAAAATAACCAAGGAGTGGCTTCGGAACAACTCCGTTACTGTTCTTGAATGGCCCAGCCAGAGCCCTGACCTAAACCCAATTGAGCATCTCTGGAGAGACCTGAAAATGGCTGTCCACCAACATTCACCATCCAACCTGACAGAACTGGAGAGGATCTGCAAGGAGGAATGGCAGAGGTTCCCCAAATCCCCAAAGACTCATGGCTGTATTAGCTCAAAAGGGTGCTAATACATCTGCAAAAATGTCAACAACTCTGTGTTTTGTTTTTCTGTGTGCTGTGTGTACATTAATGAGGAAAGAAAATGAACTTAAATGATTTAAGCAAACGGCTGCAATATAACAAAGAGTGTAAAATTTAAGGGGGTCTGAATACTTTCCGTACCCACAGTATAAAACAATATGTATGGATATAAACTCATTAAAAATAAATTCCATCCATCCATCCCTCCATCCATCCATTTTCATCCGCTTATCCGTTACCGGGTTGCGGGGGCAGCAGTCGCCACCCAAATCACACTGCACCGTACCAACCCCCCTAAACCTTCCTGCGGGTGGTGAGTCCACCGGAAGGTACCAACCGCCCTAACCGGGATTTGAACTTGCCCAGGAGGTGAACCCTCCATACCAATGACAAAGACATTGCCTCTGGGCCAAAGCGCCACTGCTAAATAAATTATATATAATTTTATATATAATTGTATTATATATAAATATTATATAATAATGTTATTATAATAATAATTTTATTTACGGTTTGGCTTGGTGGTTAAGGAAGCGGACTTGGGTCTGGAAGGCTTCAGGGTCGAGTCCACCAGCTGCCAAGTTGCTACTGAGGTGCTCTGAGCATGGTACAGTCCCCACACACTGCTCCCAAGGCAATTAAAGCTACCCACTGTTCACTTTGGTGATGGGTTAAATGCAGAGGTCACATTTTGTTGTGTGCATTGTGTCACAATGACAAGGAGTTCACTTCCCTTCCTTTCCTTTTCTTTATAGCCCATACAGACAAACACACACTATTGAAATGAACAGCGCATTCTGGCTCCATACTTTATGTATACAGACAAACACACACTATTGAAATGCGCATTCTGGCTCCATACTCTATCATTGGCCATCTGATAAATACTCTGTGTTTTATGTTCTTTGTACTTTTTGTACTTACTGACAATCCTGTTACTACAGAAAATGTAAAAGTTAAAAGGTACCATTTACTTCATTACATATGTAAGACTTTTAGAATCTTTTCATGAAGACAAATCCATGTGCTCTGCTCCTGCTGGTTCTTCAGGGACCTACGACACGCCAGAGAAGGTCATTACTTTTGTCTTTAACACAAACTGCTTAAGTATTTAGAGTTGGGCCTCATAACGGAGATTCCAGATGTTTTGCATTCTTTACTGCTTGGTCTGTCATGTAATAGATGAATCATAGAAGATCTTTTCTGAAGAACGGCCAGGGACGCCAGGGCAATTTCCTACCAGCATTATTCATAAAAATAAAAAAAATAGGGTGACATCAAATTATAGTTGCATCAGTTGGATTTTCCTTTTCCTTTTTTTCTTTACAATAACCACAAAAGCAAAGTGTCTCAGATTATAGTGAATTAATTAGTCAGGACTATGATATTTACTTTCAAATGAGATATTCAGAAATGTATAAATCTGTCTAGCTATGTTTTAGGCTATGAACTACCTTGCCATTCAGGCCTACATGATTTTACCTTATAACCCAAAGAAGGCAAGATCAAATGAAGAAGACAAAGATGCAATGCATAGCCCACATTAGTCCTAAGGACAAAGGTCAGAGGCAACAAAAAATATTTTGAATGGAAAAACTTGGCTCATTGTGTATTATTTTGCTGTGCGGTAAAGAAAATGCAACCACGTGAAAATTATATTCATTCGTCTTATTTTTTTATTTAAAGTTGCGATTAAATCACTTTGCTGTATATACTGCTGGCACCATTTTGTTAGGGTGGTCTATTCTGACTTTTAAATAGGTGTGCAGCAATTTATGTATAACCTATACAAAATGTTTTCATGATATATTATGGCTTATGTTTACACTTGTTGCATAACGAAACTCAACAACTTCAAAACGTGAGAAGCTTCTGCCATCGTCAGGCCACTACTCACCGAGGTGAGGCACTCGACTCTCAAAGACTGATTTTTGGACTTGCGAGTGTACGCACTTGCCTCTGCGCGCGCGCGCGTGTCGTGCTTGTACGGGAGCTGACGTGAGCTACAGTGGGGCTGTCTTTCCTCCGCTCTGCCCGCACTCATAAACGGATATGATGATAACCCAGTGCTGAAAACAGCACCGGAGAAGCAACGACAGTGAGCTCTGACCATGGCGGAAGAGGACGACGCCAGGATTCGAATTTTACAGAGCCTACGAGGGAAAATATGTAAGTTTACTTTGCGCGACCAATGTTGTCCGTCTATTGCGGTGGGGAGGCGGGTAAGAGAGGTGGGCACCGGAACCAGCGAGCGTCGTTTGTTAATGATAAGTGGGGTGGGCTGCCGACACTCAGGCGGAGAGACGCTGAGGAAAACGCTTTCTGTAGTGCCTCTCGTCAACTTAGCTTAGCATGCTAACAGCTGCTTCTTGTGAACGATTTCATTCATTGAGTTCTGGCTCCTGACTTAGAAATAAATCTTCAGCAGTCGTTGGTGTTTTATAGTTATTTTAGAGTGAAACATTTTATATCACCAGGACATATGTGGAGACCGGTGTAAGGTTAGCTTAGTTACCGCTGCTGGCACGGCCGCCAGGCTACTGCCAGGCACCTGAGACAGCGGAGTTGTAACTTACTGCAGCATCCGAGAGCCCTGTTTTTCAGGATCTGTTTTTTTTTTTTAAAAAACCACTGACGTACTTACACTAAAATGTTAAAATATATTGTGGTCTAAGTTTTGAACGTTCATTCAAAATCAGTAGTAAATACAATTTTCTTCAACATGTTAAAAGTGGGAACATTGACAGGATGTTGTTGCTAAAATAAAATATATCAACCTGAAATCGCCCATCGTTATAATTATAATTAACAAAATTATAATGCCGTAGAAGACTTTTAAATGTATTATTTTATCTTCTGATAGCAATACCTGCAGGTCTCAGTTGGTAAAATTACGTCACCATTAACTACAATAATCATACAGAAAAATATACCAGCAAACTGCCAAAGCTATTAATTTAAAAGTCAATATTGAATCAAATTTTTAGAATGGATGTGTAGCGGAACTTAGTTAATGGTGACTTTGTAAAAATAAGTTCTTCATGATGAAGTTTTTGTGACACAAATAATGTCCTTTTGGTATTACAGCCTAAATGATTTAATTAAGTTTTTGCAGGGGCTAATTATCTTGTACAGTAGCTAATAAGGAATGAATGACACCTTTTTTGTAAAACAATACTGCCATATGATTAGGTGACGACAGAGGCAGCATTAAGTCTCTTGTAAGAACAGAGTTACATGGCTGTAAAAAACATATTTAGTGTGTTTTTATTAGCACCCTTTTTATTTGAGTATGAATTGGTGGTTTTTGCCTTGGTACAACATATTATTCACACTTTAATAGAAGTATAGTGGTTATTACATTGATGATTCACATTTAAAAAATGCTGATAGGAATCATCGAAATACCTGTTTCCTCATCCTCAACCAGTTTGTGGACCTGTTTAAGTTAAGCAGCTATTTGTCAGATCGAATTATGACTTTCTTTTTATTTGTTAAAAAATATTAAGGCTAACTGTGTATCCAAAGTTACATCATATCCTCAGGTGTCATTTTCAAATACAAATTAAAAGACTAGATCTAGTTTTTTAAGATGCACTATGCTGTCTTGAGAACTTCTTCGGTTAGTGTTATTATTGTAGCCTTGCCTAACCTTAAAAAATGATTAATTTACTCAATTTGAATGCCATTAAACCAGATCTACATTTGTATGTGTAGAGCATTTAAAAAAACAAGTTTTGTACCACACTCACAGCTGACATTTTGTGTTTCTACAAGTGTCGTCCATGTAGTTTAGTTTATATACAGTAGATGTGACACCAGTTATTACTGTAATCAGGAAAAATTGGTTAACTAGTGTGAAAGGCATGCACACAGGAGGACAAATGTCAGTTTCACTACTATGAATTAATGACTAAATGGTTTGCAGAACAAAATAGGGGAACTATGAAGGCATGTAACTCACTTTGGAGTCTTACGAAACTCCATTCTTCCTTGTTCACACTTTGTCCCTTTTCCTTTGGCCTACATCAGTGGTGGTACTTTGTGAACATCAGTTATTTCAGCTGTCATGGGACCACTAGGGCATTGTGATGTGTGCACCCAAGTGTTTCAAGCCAGAATAAAAATCTATGAAAGACCAAGTTCTCAAATAAATAACTGGAAAAGGTTTATTTTATCTTGGTATACAGTATGACCTTTAATATAGTATTGTGCCTTTTCTTAAATCAATATTGAATTAAAGAGATGGTTGTTCAGTGGAAAGATATTGTCAATGTTGAAGTCTGTTCTTGGTTGCCCCTCTCAGCCAAGTTGTCTTGATCCAAGCTTAGTGACAACTACCGATAGTCTGTTTTTACTGGCCTTTGCTAAGATTAGCTTGTTAGAAAGCTTTTCTCACTTCAGGCCTTTCTCAATTAGGTCCCAAACAGAGCTTAGGATAATTATCTGAAGCGTAAGACTGCACCTTTCAATCCATGTATTATTTTGAGGTTATTTTTAGTTTATGTGTTTACTGTTTAGATGCCAGACAATTCAGGTTCAGAGTATGCAGCTTTGATTTGGTTAATCTTTTTATAACCTGCTGTAAGGTGGTAAAACTCTCACAATGACCAATCTGGGTTTGCCTGTGAGGACATTGAAGTGTGTACAAGTCGAGTGTGTGGCACAAAGGTTTTTGTCATCTGTGAATCAGCGCTGTCACATCGCTCTGGTTATGCTGAGGAAGTCAGTGTTTCATGTTTTTAACCACATATGAGCCTCGTCTCCTTTTTCTACATCCGCTTTGCAGGCTGCCATCACAACAGGCAGGAGCGAGTGCTGCCATGAGTACGAGAACGTTCAATATAGGGCCATATGTTGTGCTCATGACAAGTACTTTGTCTGTCCTGCCCCAATTAACATTCATTCATTCATTCATTTTCATACGCGTATCCGTTATCGGGTGGCTGGGGCAGCAGTCTCCATGACTGCCACCCAAATCACACTGCACCGCACCGACCCCCCCTGTGGGTGGTGAGTCCACTCGAAGGTACCAACCGTCGTAACTGGGATTTGATCTTGCCTAAGGGTTCCACACCAATGACAGAGACATTGCCTCTGGGCCAAAGCACCACCCAATTAACATTTATTTTTAATATTTACAGTGTTGAATGAAATTTTTTTTTTTTACTGCAGTCACAAACCTGTGATACTAAGAACACGTAAAAGAAAGGCAAATGCTGTTCCATGGAAGACCCATGAAAACCTAGTTCCTGACTTATTCGGAAAAGACTTGTGTAGGTGCCATATATAGATCCTTACAAGTTCCATCTTTTGATGCAGGTGAAGCTAAGAACCTGTGCCCAGTGTCAGGTCCTAATCGACAAAGGGATCTATGTACATTTTGCACCATAAGCCTGGACCAAGAGGAGGTGTTTCGTACCAGGGTGTTTGACAAAAGTATAAGGTAAGTAGGAAAGAAAATCATATCCCTAGATGTACTTTTAAAACTGAACTTCATGTATGACTGGGTTTTACTTATGTGATTGGTAAGTTAAAGGCAGGGAAGTGCCTATAATTTTATGTATGGCAGATACTGTTCTTCATTTGTGCAAAGTATCACTCAAGTCGACTTCTGGTTAGAGAGCCGATGGAGTAGACGCATCACGCGAGTGCTCCTGTGAACTTTTAACTTTCTAAACCAAAGAGCCCTCTAACTTCCACGCCAAGCGAATTCCTTTGTCCTTGTTTTTCTTTCCTCTTTTTGCTTTGTTTAAACAACACATGCTACTTCTAGAATGGCTGTGAAAGGCAGAAAGACAATCAAAAAAGAAAAGGCTAGCGCTAGCTTAACTCTGGGCGCTGTTACCGCACTTCTTGAAAAACATAGTGAGCCGCTAAGTTCAAAACAACGTTCAGTCAACTCGATTCGAAACTGGACCAAATGCATCTTGCAGTGGAGCACCATGGTCAACGGGTTTTCACTCTCGAACTCGCTGTAGAAGACCTCAGTCAGCAAGTCATAGACATGGAGGACACTTGCTCGACTTTATATGAAAGTAACGCTCGTCTTAAGGCTAAAGTCATCGACTTCCAGGGCTGAAGCAGGAGACAGAACATATGCATTCCTGGTCTCCCTGAGTCCATTCAAAGTTGATCTCCCCCTGAGTTTTTCTCAAAGTTGTTGTACGAGATATTTGGGAATACCGAACTGCCCTCACCACCAGAAAACAACAGAGCACATCATTCTTTGGCACCCAAACTGGCCCCTGGACAGCGACCACGACCAGTTATCTACTAGATTAAGGATCTTCTCATCAGAAAGGCACAGCGGAGAAGGAAGCTTGAAAACCAGGGCCAGCCGGTTGAGATTGTGGTGGACTACAGCCCCAAAGTTCAAAGGCAGCATGCAGAATACAGCGGAGTGTGAAACCCACTTTCCTGTACACTGCCCTGCTCTTGTCTCACACTGTCCGGTGGAGCCAGGAAGTGGATCAGTTCCACTCCCGGCACTACTATACAGCAGAATTTAGCACGTCTATGAAGATTCTCAGTCATCCAGGTCATGGTCAAGTTTAAAAAGTTCTGTTAGGCAACTGGACGTGAATTTTCTAAAAGAAGACATTTCACCTCTAATCCAAGAGGGTTCTTCAGTTCTAACTGGTGGTGGGGAGTACAGCAAATAAATACTCGAGAAAGAGTAGAAGGAATAAAGCTACTTCAGCTCCACCCTGTTAGGTGGGGCCTGGGGGTCAACTGTGAAAGTGTAAACAGTCGTTAAGAGTCTGCTGGGTCGTTGTGGTCCCCATCAGAACGGTTAAGGTCACCTGCCTCTTTGTTGTGTGAAACTGAGGTGAAACTTTTGGGTATGTTTCCTAAAAGTGCTTTGTAAGTGGGTTGTGTCTGAGTCCACCTCCTCTGTTGAGTGATGGTTTTTCCAAGTTGACAAAAATGGCTTCCTTTACCCCTCTCTCAAACCATCTGTCTTCCCTGGCCAAAATGTGTACATGTTTGTCCTTGTTGTCCTCAAAGGAGTGTGGTTTTTCTTTGAGGTGTAAGTGAACCGCTGAGTCCTGTCCGTAGGAGTTGGCTGGAGTGTGCAATAGGAAGATGTGTTATTTTACAATGTTTCTCTTGAATAGGTGGCTGTTTTTTGGAGCTGTCTTGGATGGGGAGGTTGGGGTGGGGGATATGTCACTGCCAGAAACTTTCTAATATTTCCTTTGAAACTTGCACTTTGCAGTAGCTGCATCCAATCTCTTTTCTTTTTTTTTTTTTGCCCAGATAATTTTTAATAATTCTAATTTTTAGCGCCAAATAGGATGAGTGGACTGACGAACTGGTCTAAATCAGGAGTCACCAACGTGGTGCCTGCGGGGCACCTGGTAGCCCATGTGGTGCCTGCGGGGTATGTTATAAAAATAAAACTAGTCAACAAGAGGGTCAAAAATTGGACTGTTACTGTGCTTTTTTTTAAATCAGTTACACTTGCAGTGATATTCAAATGGGTGTAATGACAATGGTAAGAAGAGTGTCTACTATGGTATGTCCCAGAACTCATTATTATTACATTTTTTAGGAAGTCTGTATCAAACAAATAGCTCTTCATATTACTAAGTACCCTTGAAGTAGCTTTCAGTTTCAAAAAGGTTGGTGACCCCTGGTCTAAATCATCCGGTAAAAAAAAAAGAAAGGTCTTTTCACACTTAAAACAACTTAAAACAAAAATAGCTTTTCTACAAGAAACCCATATTCGCTGTTTAGACAATAGCCATCTGTTAGCCGGATGGTTGGGGCAGAGATTCCATTTAAGGCCTGAGGAGTCTCAGTCCTTATCAGTCAGGGCGTTCCATTTGAACCACATAACACAATCTCTGATAAATGTTGTTGATATGTGATTGTGGCAAATTATACAGTACACTAGTTGTACTTACAAATGTTTTTGCCCCAACTATAGATGACATAGGCTTTTTTGAACGAGCAGTCGGTGGCAACTTAAACTGTTGGCTTGACCCAGTTCTCGACTGACCCTCTACGAACCCTGGCATAGTGAGAAGGTCACTTCTTTATTCAGGCTTTTCTCACGGACTTTGGTGTCTGTGATGTATGGCGCTGTCTATATCTATTTTATCCCTAGATCCTTTTTTCAACTCATTGATACAGTTATTTCCTTATATTTATGGCAGGGCAAACGACCGTGTTTGAACAAGACTCATCTTCAAAAGACCAAGGTAACACGGGGTCTGGCCCTTTCAAACTCTTGCTTTTATTATGGTGCTGCTAACTTGCGTTGCCTGACATTTTGGTCCTACTGCTTTAGCCATCTTGACTGTCCTGACTCGGTAGCAATGGAGTTACGGTCTACCAATAACTGGTAAATTTTTCCATTTCTTGGAACCTCACTTCCACTTCCTTCACTTAAATCAGTTAGAACCCCAGTGGTTAAACAATATAAAAATCTGGGTCCAATTTAGGAAGTACTTTAGTGGTTTTCATAGCTTCTCTCTCTTTAGCCCCATTGCCTCAAACTACATCTTCAAAGCATCCAATCAGGACTCTGCTTTTTGACAAATGGCACAGGAAAGGTATTGCACATTTTAAATAGATAGATAGAGTAGATAGACAGATAGCACTTTATTAATCCCTCGGGAGTTCCCTTTTTAGGCCCAAGCAGCAGTACGGCACCAAAATAACAGTAAAAACACACAAATAGGTAAAATACTATATATAACTCCTATATATATATATATATATACACACACACATATATTGGTATGTACGCTAAGTGTACCACATTATCTCTATGGTATGTATATTTAAGCAGAACTAGTATAATTATAAGGATGTTATGTGAACAGGTATATAAATATATAAACAGTATAAATAGTTAAGTAGTTAAATAATTAAATTAGATAAACAGTTATAGGCAGTACCAGCAGATATATTAGTGTATGATGTCGACCTGATTTATACAACCATTATCACCAAGAGCCACCACGCACATACAACATATTATATTATATATGTATAGTAGCTCCTAGTAACAATGGCTGTACAAATAGTTGTATTACCGTATTTTCCGAACTATAAGGCGCACTTAAAAACCTTTAATTTTCTCAAAAATCGACAGTGCGCCTTATAACACGGTGCACCTTATGTATTACTTGTGGTTGCGCTTACTGACCTCGAACCGATTTTATAAAGCTAAACCACACAGCGCATCACACATGATGGCACACAACTGAAGCACATTCTTGTTCTTTTTCTTTCGGGTATGTCCCTTTTTCAGGGGTTGCCACAGCGAATCATTGTTTTCCATCTCTCCCTGTTCTCTGCATCTTCTACTCTGACTCCAACTATCTGCATGTCCTCCCTCACTGCATCCATATATCTCCTCTTTGGCCTTCCTCTCTTTCACCTACCTGGTAGCTCCATCTCCAACATTCTTCTACCAATGTATCCACTGTCCCTCCTCTGCACATGTTCAAACCATCTCAATCTGGCTTCTCTAGCTTTTTCTCCAAACCTTCCTGTCTGTGTTGTCTGTCTAATGAACTCGTTCCTGATCCTGTCCATTCTTGTCACTCCTAGAGAGAATCTTAGCATCTTTAACTCTGCCATCTCCAGCTCCGCCTCCTGTCTTCTGCCTATTGCTACCGTCTCTAAACCATACATCATGGCTGGTCTCACCACCGTTCTGTAAACCTTTGCCTTCACCTTTGCCTTCACCTAACAATTGATCCTAAATACGTACCTAAACTCCTGCACCTTCACCACCTCTGCTCCTTGTAACCTCACTATGGCAGGAGGCTAACGGGTAAAGTCCGGGCAACATATAACTTTACGGAGACATGTCCAGGGTTACACCAACTGTTATTAACGTATATGATGAGTCCCGCACCTTTGCTCTTCCCGTATGCCTTTGTGTCCCTGTCGACTCTCACTGCTATAAGTCCTTGCAGATCCACATTAACATCGGTTACGCTGTCAGTAAGCCAAGTCTCTGTGAAGATGAACAGGCTGCACTCCCAGTATATCCGCTGATTGTACAGCACGGAAAGCTTACCCATCTTATTGGAAAGAGAGTTTACGTTGCCCATGATGACCGAGGGAATTGATGGTTTGAAACACCTCCGTTCATCCGCTATCTTCACCTTTACTTTAGCCCCGGCTCTGCATCCTCTGTATCTCCTTTTTATCTCAACCGGTATGTTGTGCCGTATTCCGTGCATAGTTGTCCTCAGAGCCAGCTCGTCCCTTGAATAAACGAGAGAACTGGCTCCAGTTGCCTTTTTAAGACTGCCGGTATCGATCGGATACATTTAATAGTAGTACTTCGTGAAAGGAGTAAAGAAAAAGTAAGAAAAGTAAAGCAAAAGTGGTAAAAAACGGATTAGTGCTGCAGAGCAACCAGAAGGCTGCTGCCGTCAGCATTAGTGCCATCTTGTTACTTATATCTGTAATACTGAAATATCTGTTCATAGGCAACAGTGTGTCATCATTTGAGCAGCTAGGTAAAAAAGTTTGGCCTCCACAAGTCACATCTGTTCAGGTACTTTCAGGCAAGACACTGTTTACCCTCAGACGTCCAGATCTGTAACAACACCAGCAGACTTGACTATTGTTGACACTGTCCTTTCTATAGATCTACTTAAAAAGAAACTAATTTGGGCTCTTTATTGCAAACTATTGGTTCTTCGGAGTGCTCCTACAGACAAGCTCAAAGCTGCATGGGAAGAGGACTCTGGGTTTTCTTTATCAACTGTGGGTTTCCACAGTTAATCTGTTTAATTCAACCTTCTTCTGTGCACATAACTGCTTAATCCATTTCAAGCTGGTACACAGGCCTCATATTTCCAAGGGATAACTGTCCTCCATATACCTGAATATTAGTCTATACTGCGTCAAATGCAAAATCATGGAAGCTTCCCTCTTTCATATTTACTGGTCCTGCCCAGGCCTCAATAAATATTGAAGAGAAGTCATTCGCACACTTTCTTTGGTCTTAAACAGTAAAAATATAATTAAACCCATTGACTACTTTGTTTGGGGCTTGAGAGGGGAGAAAAAGTTAAATACAACAAATCAATGCACTCCTTTGCCTCCCTTCTAGCTCGACAAACAATTGTGCTCAGTTGGAAAGACACTTTCCCTTCCACTCATGCACAATGGATGAAAACAAAATTGAAAGACACTTTCCCTTCCACTCATGCAAAATGGTTGCAAAAAAAAAAAAAAGAGAAAATAATATATTCATTAAAGCAATTAAAAAAGAAGTTCCAGAAAGTGTGGCGTACCTTTCTAAAAACATGGCATACTCTGTAAAGGCCTGTCCCTTAAATTTAGCTCGGTTATACATTTTTTAAAAATTAATTTATATTTCAACTCATTCATAGCGATTGGTATAACAGTGACTAATGGTGCAATAGAGTAATCTGGCAGTGACAAGGGAGGGATTATTTTGTGCATAGTTTGTTGTTTTTTGTGTGTTTGCGTTTGGTTTACTAAGAAAATTTCAATACAAAGATTTAAATATATAAATATATATTTAAATATTATAATATATTAAAACTATCACACGGGTAGGGATGACTTGATTGATGTCTTACAAAGGACAGATCATTGGTAGAATAACAAGTAAATAAAAACATTATTTTACCTGTATGATTATTTGCAACATGTTAATGTCATTTTTTTCTTGAAATCACTGCATTTCTTTGTACAAGAAAAGAAACACAATTGAATGAAATTATGACTGGTAAGGGCTAACCCTAACCCTTTAAGCTGCTAAGTCAGTTTTCTGCACATGCATACAACATTATTAAAGTATTACACAGAAACAGTTGTTTATATCATTGCTGGTTTACAGTCTTGCTGGACGTGTTGTCTGGCCCAACTTTACTTCTGCACAACGTCTAGTACCTCTTTCTGTTTTTTTGTAATTAGTTGTGATCAGTTGCAGTGCAGTTGTAGTGCCAGTAGTGTAGTGTAACTTTTAAGATATTTATTTAAGCATAAACAACTGAAGAAATGTAACACATTTGACATGCATCAGTGTCAGGAAAAAAAAAATCAACTTTAGATTTAGAGAGGGTTTGGGAGTTTCTGGTGAAATATGTGACTGAGGGGAAAAAAACAAATAAAATTAAACTGTTAAAGTAAATAGCTCACACCTCACCCCGTGCGTGGTGTTGTTTGAGTTGGGAAATATGGAAGCGATTCTCTCTGAAATGCACCATTTCACACATATGCATTGTGAGCAACTCAAAGAAGGTATGGGAAATTGTCAGTGAGGAAACCTCTAGATTTCTCTCTTCATCATTGCACATCTCTGCACATCTTGAAGCCACAGGTCTTGAATTTCACAACACACTTTTTTCTCCTTTTTGATGCCGTTCAGAGAGATCTAGTCTATGAGGAAGTTTGCCCTCTCACAACTGCCCTGCACTCATATTTAACTCACATGCTGTCCATTTCTTCTGATCCCCCTTGAGATTGTTCTACTCCTTCATTGGAGTCCAGCTGTGTTTAATTAAACTGATTGGACTTGATTAGGAAAGGCACACACCTGTCTATATAAGACCTTACAGCTCACGGTGCATGTCCGAGCAAATGAGAATCATGAGGTCGAAGGAACTGCCCAAGGAGCTCAGAGACAAACTTGTGGCAAGACACAGATCTGGCCAAGGTTACAAAAAAATATCTGCTGCACTTAAGATTCCTAAGAGCACAGTGGCCTCCATAATCCTTAAATGGAAGAAGTTTGGGACGACCAGAACTCTGCTTAGACCTGGATGTCCAGCCAAACTGAGCAATCGTGGGAGAAGAGCCTTGGTGAGAGAGGTAAAGAAGAACCCAAAGATCACGGTGGCTGAGCTCCAGTGATGCAGTGGGGAGATGGGAGAAAGTTCCACAAAGTCAACTATCACTGCAGCCCTCCACCAGTCGGGGCTTCATGGCAGAGTGGCCCGACGGAAGCCTCTCCTCAGTGCAAGACATATGAAAGCCCGCATAGACTTTGCCAAAAAACACATGAAGGACTCCCAGACTATGAGAAATAGGATTCTCTGGTCTGATGAGACGTAGATTGAACGTTTTGGCATTAATTCTAAGCGGACTAGATGACCATAAGCACACAGATAAAATAACCAAGGAGTGGCTTCGGAACAACTCTGTGACCATTCTTGACTGGCCCACCCAGAGCCCTGTCCTAAACCCAATTGAGCATCTCTGGAGAGACCTGAAAATGGCTGTCCACCAACATTCACCATCCAACCTGACAGAACTGGAGAGGATCTGCTAGGAAGAATGGCAGAGGATCCCCAAATCCAGGTGTGAAAAACTTGTCGCATCATTCCCAAGAAGACTCATGGCTGTACTAGCTCAAAAGGGTGCTTCTAGTACATTAATGAGAAATAAAAATGAACTTTTTTGATTTTAGCAAATGGCTGCAATGAAACAATGAGTGGCAAATTTAAAGGGGGTCTGAATACTTTCCGTACCCACTGTATATGTGAACTAATTTAGAAATTGACAACATGACACTCTCACGTGTGACACTCTCTCACACACACACACACACACTGCTTTATTAAGTGTGTGTGTTGAAGAACAGTCTACGTTTCTAACTCTAAGACTTTGCAGCCAAATCTTAAGGTTAAATTTTAAGGGAAACAACAAGTTGTTTTTCATTTGCACATACTTTCTGTTACTGGAGTTCAACTGTCTAAGTGCTGCTATGTCACAGATGGTCCATCTGTAGGCAGCACCTGCACGTAAGTAGTGCTTAATCCATAATCATCTGTGTCAGATCAAGCTGTCCTGCTCCTGCTTACAGTCTGTTGGCAGCACTGAGGTATAAAAATGCTCCCATCCTCTTTGTTTAATGCCAACTTATATGGTGCTCTAAGGACAGTTTTGGACACGAGGCTAAGTTGTGTGCTTTTGCAGCCATGTTGTTCCGTGACAGGAAGAAGTATCTTCTTCCTGTTTCTTCCTTGCTGTTCAATTAACACGGTGTATTGCTTGATAATTATGCATACAAGCTTTACCTCTAATTATCAATTTGCTGCGTTGTCTTAGAATCATGTTAATATGTATTTTGAAGACATTTAATAAACCTTTTTTTTTCAAAAATTAATTTTTTTTTTTTTTCAAAAATTAGAAAAAAAGAAAAAGGGTCAAATCAAGCCCAATTTCAGGACCCCCACAGTACTCCCTTGGGGTTGTAAAATCTCTGTTGAAGACCTCTGCCATAAGAGACATCAATGTGTTTGTTAAAGTGTAATAAGAAATGAATACATTTACACAATTTTGTAAAACTCGAGTTGTTTTTTTTGGGGTTTTTTTGCATTTTCATTTATTAAGGGCTTTAAAATAAAATAAATTTGTTTTCACCCATGACCTGAAGTCTTTTATATTGTGTATACTGTGTTGGTACTATTCCACAATGCTTAAGCTAACCAGCTAACCACAAAAATAGGACAGATGGCTAATAGAGACTTCGGTTGTTTTTTTGCTGTTTTTCAATTTCTTGTTTCATTTGAGTTTGTTACAGTAAATATCATGGAGCTGGTGTGTGTTTACAGTAGATAAAATAGCAAATGTACACCTGTCACCTCGCAAAACACTCCCTTTTACTGCTATGAGTCACAAGGGCACCCTGTGTCGTCCACCTTCTGCTCCGGCAGTTTTATCTCCGCAACATGGAGTTATACTGTGATCAAGGCCTTGTTAGAACGTTGGTGTTTTGTTTTTTTTGACAGGGAGAAAAGCAGCTGAAAACAGAAAGGGGAGTCAAACTACTACATGTTACTGATTGTGGTATATAAAAAAAAACATGCTAAAATATGAAGGATCATCCTTCACTGTCCAAATACAACCACAGCCTATTTTAAAATAAGTGGAGTTTAATATGTAATTGTTTCTCATGGCATTGTCTCTAAAAAGCAACTGCTTAAATTGTGTTTTAGCCCCAGAAAGCATACCAAATAGCGCTGTAACTTGGTTTGAGTGGCTCTGTTGTTTAATGTAAACTCCTGCCTTTATTTACAGCCCATTCTATGGAGAAGATTTCTACTTTGAGATCCCGCGTCCTTTTCAGTGTTTGTCCTTCTATGTTTATGCCAAGGGTGTTTTTCAAAGGGACCAACCTGTGGGTAAGTTTCAATTATCATTACACCTACACAAGACTGACTCATCTGAAAGACTGGGTTGTTGTTCTTACTATGCCTGTGTGGGTGTTTTCTTATCAGGTAAGGTATCAATTCGGAAGGATGACCTTTGTAAATACAGTGGGAAGGAACACTGGTTTGGCATTCAGCCAGTAGATCCAAACTCGGAAGTACAGGTAATATTCAAGGAGAATTTTTTTATTCCTAACCCTAACTGCCGTTAATATACACAGTATTGACTTAATACACCATAAAGAAAATTCTACTTTGTCAACTAATCATGAACAATTATGATTCTTCTACAGCACCCTGTGATTAATTACATAAAAAAATATTGACTTGGCACCCTGTGATTAATTACATAAAAAAACATTGACTACATTTAAATCACCAACTAATTAAGTGTTTTACTTTCACTATTATTGTGGGTCAAACAGGTTGGATGAAGAGATTGGAAAAACAGTCTTATTTTTTATCAACGTGCTTGTTAAGTTATTTAGGAAATGTGTTATAACATCAATATTTAAAAATAAGTGTAATGTAACAATAAGTGGTTTAGAATTGAGGTGGAATGACCACTAATAATATTATGTGTTTGTTTTGTTTTGTTTTGTTTTTTTTGGCTTTCTTGCCTTCAAAAGAACTTGCTCAGTCATTTAATGCTGAATTGGCAAGTGTGTAGTTGACTTGTTGGGCCAGTCTCTGTTTCCCCTCTCTCTCTTTCTCTATTTTTGTCTCTCCTACTGACTCTCGTCACATCTGTCTTTCTCTTTCTTTCTTTCAGTAGGTTTTCACTTTATTTCAAAACTTATAGCACCTTCATGTTTCAAATGTTTCCTTTGGCATAAAATCAGTCATGAATATAATTATTTTTGTTAAAGTCATAAGTACTATGTGTACACAGTGCAGTGCTCAGGTGGAATGAAGAATTTGGTGTACATTATTTATGCTCCTAGTCACAAGCTGCAGCCAACACTTTTATTTTGTTTTTCAACTGACATTAATCGACTGGAAACTTCTGAGATCTCATGACTGCTCTCCTCTCTTCTTTTGTTAAACAGGGTAAGGTTCACCTTGAGATGCGGCTAAATGAAGTGATCACAGAAAACGGCTCATTGGGTCAGCACTTACTTGTTCGGTGAGTAAAACGATATTTAGAGCCTGTCTGATGCTGAGGGATGTCTCATCAAGTGTTATACTTTACTTTTGCTAACTTTAGAGATTATTAGAATCTAATTTAGACACACTATTGTGCGTCCTGTACATCCAGTTACCTATTGTACAGCTTCATAGTGAGATCACATTTAAACTTTCACACATGTCCTTTGCAATTATTGCTATAGATGGAAAGAGAGACATAATGAGGAGTGTAGTGTCATAAATAAATTAAAAAAAGTCCACCTTTAATCTGGAGTTCATCAAGCAACTTATTTTATAAGCAGAAAATTCCAAAACTTCTGTCTGTTTTTTTTGTTGTTGTTTTGTTTCTGTGTTACCAGAATAACACCTCTTAATACAATAGTTTACAAGCTTTTTGTACAGTTCCCCCTACACCACCCTCGGATACAGACACATTCACAGCTTTTGTATAAAAACTCCACCAAACACTAATTTATTCCAATACTGTTGTTCTTGTTGAACAAAAGAAGTAAAATTACAATTCATTCTTGATTTTACTATTATGGTAAAAAATATAGAAAATAGAGATAAAATTGAATTTATTAAAAATTGTATTTATTATTTTATTTATTATTATTATTTATTATTATTATTATTTTATTATTTATTTTTTCATTTATTAAATTTGCATTTTTCAAAATCGATTGCAAATTATGGGACTATCCAAATTTCTCAGTTTTCTTGGCAAATGGCACATACCAATACAGCCTTTTCCTATACGAAATTATTTTTTTTTCAATTGACAGCATTCAAAATTAATAAAAGTAGGGATGCCCCCGAACATTTGGCCACTGAAAATCTCTGGCCAAAAATGGCCCAAACGTGCATTTTTCGGTTTTCAGCCGAATGACTTTTATTACCAAAACAAAACAGCCAAAACAGGACGTTATGTTGACGTAGGCAAAAACCGTGGCCAGCGCAGGCTTGTCTGAAAGTGCCAACATGTCTACGGTGTGGAAGTATTTCAACATGAGAATGACCCAAGGATAGTGATTTGCAAGACGTGTAATGCTGAAATATTTCGACACATTGGGTTTAATTTATTACCTGAAATGCAAACGTGCCGATTGCTATGCTGAATATGAGAGGAAGGAAAGCCTCTTTGCGCAAAAGCAAGAGTCATGGCTGCATACAGCACAGAACAAGAGCTCCCCGCAACATTCACGCCGGTGGGTCTTAATAGACCGCATTCTCTCTCTTCTTGCCCCGTTTGAGCAGCTAACTAAAGAGATCAGCTTATCTGATGCATCTGTAGCCGATCTTTGTCAGCACACGTTTGACTGAGATCTATTCGGATCCTGCGCACTTTGTCGAGACTGTGCTTGATCCGCATTATAAATATCATTACTTGAATGCAGGAATAAAGCAGCGCACACAGCGATCCAGCAATTGACTTAAATGCATTTTGTGTTTTTATGAGAGAACATATTTAATTTTACAATCTATCAGCAGTACATTATCATTTAAAGTACACATAAGTGGGGTCAAGTTTAACATTTTATGTTGAATATTATTTTATTTTATATTTTATTTTATATATAATCATTTAACGTACACATAAGTGGGGGGTCAAGTTTAACATTTTATTTTGAATTTTATTTTATTTTATATTGTGCATCATTGGAATGTCCTAAATAATATTTTTTTAATAATTGTGTAATTGTTTTATTCTTTGAAACATTAATATTAAGTTATGCAATTGCGGTGCCTTGATTTCATTGAGGTTTAGTACACAATCATAGCCAAAATGCAATGGTACTAATATTTGGCATCATAATTTCTTTTGGTGTTTCGGTTTTCTGTCTTGGATTTCTCATTTTCTGTTGTCAGTTTCAGACAAGAATTTTAATTTCGGTGCACCCCTAAATAAAAGGTGTTCTGCTGCTCATTTTTATTCTCATCACTTGAAACATTTGATTTTTTTGCTGAAAAATGGCGTTTAAGTTTGTTTTACCAAAGAACTGCAGTTGGCTCCTCCTGGTTAAACTTGAGTGAACTTGAAGAGTTATTAACGAAAATAATAGGACAAAACTCCTAACTGTACCAATTTGTATGGTACACAATCACAAACTTTATTTATCTAAAGGAAAAGACATGTGCAATATAAATTATAGAAAGCCCATGGACGAACTCATGGACATCGTCAAGATACAACACAGTCTATATAATTTGTTCCATTTATTTGAGTTAATATCACAAAAAAGTAATAACAAAATCCCAACTGAAGTTACAGTAGCTGTGAGCAACTGCACAGCAAACATCGTCTGTCTCGTATTTGACAGGCACTGCACACTAGAGAGCCATGGTTAGAAAACATTAGTGGTATTTTACCTTGTTGAGCTTACTGTGTTTTTAACCAAATTCAAAACGTTGCTGGAGTGATATTAATATCAACGTTTCGCATTACCTTGCAGCAGGGTGTCAAACTCCAAACAAATCTGCAGGCCAATCTCAATATTTATTGAAAAATTGGCTACACCTGATATGTAATTTTGTAACCTTTTCATATGGAAACAAACTTTAGTTTGATATTACAAAAGCTTGATATTACAAACATATGAGTATTTAAAATAAAAGACGTCAGTAGTATTCATTTCTTATTTAAATAAGAAAAAACAAATTGTCTCTCTCTATAGTCTTTTGCGTTTCTTTTTAAAGTTTTTTTTTTTTTACAATCCAACAAAAAAAAAGTCTTTCAAAGAAAATTCATTGAAATTTAAATTCAATAAAAACTACATATATTAAAGCTCAATTTGCTACACTCTGATTTACTCTGCACATTGGTCTAAGCTAGATATCTGGCATATTTTCTTAGATGCAAGTTCATCAATTTCTGGGGTCAGGCTCTAGGCTGAGGAAATTCTCAGGATGGACTGAAGGTGTTTATCAGTGAGTTGACTTCTGTGTGCTGTATTGTTTCATGTTCATTAAAGAGAACATTTGTTCACATAGATATGTGTTGCCGAACATAGAGAGCATTTGAGCAGCTTGCGTACGTAGTTGGGGCCATTGTACCGGGGAGGAAACTGCACAGCATCCACAGAGTCATACTTCGACTTGAGTTCAATTAGCTCCTTTGAAGGTTGGTTGGTGCGCTTTCCGCGTCAACCACAAACGGATTACTGAGCAGTTCAAATCTTAGTTTCTGGGCCGGGTAAACTCGATACTGAGCACGTTGAGTTTTTCAGCCAACTGTGTGCTAGGCAGCACGGCAGGCGAGATTTGCTCTTTCGTGGTTTGGCAGCACAGAAAATGACCCAAGTTTCCTCGCGGAATCTGAGTCTTCCGGGCACAACTTAGTTGTTAGGTTGCAGGTTAAGCACATCGAGATGGCTCAGCAATCTCTGTTTGTTAGGACACATCTCTGTATGCTGAATCTAACTCCTCTACACTTGAAGACTTGAACTGGCAGTGATTAAAACCTTTGGCTCTTAATGAAGTTAAATTACTCGTGTTATGGTGCTCATAACATGTTCCATTTGCAAGGCTTTGCCACACAACGCTTCTTGGTGTATGATGCAGTGATGAACTGTAAGTTCACCTGCATTTTCCTCCTTCTCCCGAATCCTACCCACCAATCCACTCTTGATCGCACATTGCGGGCGCACCATCTATCGTCAGGCCCACAACTTTATCCCAGGGCAGTCTCATTTCATTTATACATTTGGATACCTCTTCAAAGATATCTCTTCCTGTGGTTGTGCCATGCAATGATTTAATCCTAAAAGTTTTTCCACGGATGAAGATTGATAGCTGGGCAGTATCAGATGTGTCAGCAAGGGAGAATGTGAAAAAAATCTTTTCCTTTTTTTTTTATCAGTCGATTGGTGGCAAGGTTCACATGTATGCTCAGCCACTGTGTTCCTGCTTAAAAATGCTCACATTTAAAAATTCCTGCCTTTTATCTTGGCACATAATGTCGCTAACTTTGACCATGCACTTTTTGACAAACTCTCCCTAATAATAATAATAAACGGCTGAGCTGATTTTGCAAGTTCTGCTGCCACAATAAAGCTCGCCTTCACAGCAACTTCACTTTTTAATTTTGCTTTCATGAAAATAGTCTGCCGGGAAACCAGATTTCTTTTCATCCCCTCTACCTTCTAGAGCTTCTGCTTTTTTCGGGTCCTTGTGCTTCTCATAGTGTTTTGGTTCACAGTGTCTTCTTAGATTATATTCTTTTGTTACAGCCAGGTTGGCTACGCACACAAGACAAACAGCTTAGATTATATTCTTTTGTTACAGCCAACAAGTCTGTCCTTTCCTGCCCTGTCCTAATATTCGTGAACAGATAATCTGCCTCCCAACTTTCTTGAAAGCACCTGTTTTCCATCTTTTGTTTGGCCATTTTTGTGGAGGGGTGTAATTAATGTGTCCAGGGTGATTAGTAGCTTAGTTACCAATGAGTGTAAACTAGCATTTGGGGATCTGGGATGAGTATTAGTGGTGCATGTGCTGTATACTGGCGGGCCAGCTCTAATGCACATTGGATATGATCTCGTGGGCCCAAATATAATTACACCAGGGGCCTGATTTGGCCCGCAAGCCTGAGTTTGACACCTGTGCTTTAGAGGTTAGACCTCTAGCTTATCACCTATCCAACCCAGTTCTAGAAATGAACATAATAATTGAGTCCCATAATCATCCAACAAATGGGAACTTTACAATATATATATACTGTATATATGGGTGTTTGCAACTGACACAGGCTGCCACCAGAGGTGCCATTAAGTACGAGATCGCAACTCAGAGGCTGCCGCACAAGAGGTGCCGATAAGGATGTTGTTCCTCTGAGAATTGTTATTGCTATCTACTGAACGTGAGACGATCACTGCACATATGTAAGGCACTGTCCTGTTTGTATGCTGTGCACCCTTCATTCACAGATTAGGAGCATTTTAATGCGTGGGAGGAAGTCATGACATCTGAGCAGGAAGTCTGCACCTTTAACAGTGCAACCCCTGTGGTTTCTTCTGCCTTCATTCACTTTGTCAGCATTGAGAGTCTTTGCTCGAACAATAACTGTCAGCTATAACTGTACACTCTCATTGATGAACTTGCCTCACACTCAATTTAGGTCTACAACTTTTTTTTAAGGACCAAGATAAACCCGCTAGGAGAAATGAATCAAAACAGTCAGGGATTTCTTTACAGAATTATCTTACAGAATAATGTTAAGAAAAAGGGATATAACTGTACTATTATATATACTATTTTTTTAAATGTCACTTCTCAATCTTATTTAACTGGGGTTTTGTGTGCAGAAAAACTATTTTCTTAACATATTCTTAACACACAGATGATGCAACCTTCATGGCTTATAAATGGAGGCAAAAGATATTAATTTCCTCATTTATCTGATAAAAGTTATCTCAAGGGCGTCTTTAGGTCAGCGATCCGGAACAGACCTTTTGATGGTCTGATTCAAATGTTATGTTTTGGGCAATAAATGTCCCAACCCAAAAAAACAGCTGCAGCACCTAAAGTATTACTTTTCAGTGCTCCACTTCCAATTAAAATATAAAACATTGCTTAAGGTTGTAAAAAAAATGATGATAATTTGCATATTGCTTAGTAGGGCTGGGCGATATAGACTAAAAGAAATATCTTGAGTAGCCATACTATATATATATCGATATTTTTTTCTGTGACATAATTGAGGTTTCCTCCAAAAGCATTATAGCATATTATATTAATTTAATTCAAAAAACAAACAAACATCAGTTACAAGTTTAAGTCGCATTTTAAATGTCACGCAGGCACCTTTATTAACAGAGATCACACTGCATTAATATCAGTGTGAATGTATAAAATAAAAAAAAAAATATCTGGAATAAAAATGCTAATTGAATAAAATCAAATAAATCTCTAAAAAAAAATACACAGACGTTTTAAACTGGTCTGCTTCAGTGCCTTAATTGTCAAATTCTCAAATTTCCGACGGTACCTGAACACATTTTACAATCATATACAGATGTTATACAAGTTATTACAACTGTTTTTTTTTTTTTATTTTCACTGTGGAACGTCAGCATGTGTCACTTGTAAAACAAGTATATTGGCGATACGACCTGCCTGCTTCACACAGTGTGTCATACAGTGCCGTTGTAAGTGAAGCAAAACTTGTCGCTGATTGTCGCTAAGTATAGATCAGCAGAGCCGAAATGGTGTGTGTGTATGTGTAAGGAGAGGAAGAGGAGAAATACGTGTAAACTTGTGGCTCACGCGTTGTCAATTTAACGCAAAATTAACTATATCGATATTGTCCCGTGCCATATCGTGTTTACAAATATATCAACACGTATTACAATATCAACTTATCGCCCAGCGATACTACTTAGTAAATATTGCTTAGCTCGCTGTTTTTACTGTATATTCTCTATATGAAATAACCTGCTTGGTTGCGGAACATAACAAGACAAAGCTGAGTCAAGGAAGAGGTGATGCTCCACAGATGCTATAGGGGATATTTCCATGGAAGCATGGAGGGTTATACATAAACATTTTTGACATTTGCTCTGTGTGGCTTCTCCCAACAGTCTCACTTAAAGTGGGGCATCATTTATTCTTAACCTCCAGTGACTTCTGCTTAGCAGCCACATCCTGTTTAGAGTGCCGACAGTGACTGTTTGTTGTCACCTGAAACGCATTGGTCCCTGTGTGACACCAGCCGACACACCATCATGGCGGGCACCATAGTTCTCAATGAACACTGACACCTTGAGATCAGTGCAACACGTTTGATTTTATATTGTGTAAATTAGTAAGGAAAGCCGTTTTGTTTGTTAGAAAAAAAAATGTTAATATTTTTTCCTATTATTGCATCTAAAGATAAACACACTTCTCCCGCCTTAATTATATTTTGTCTTAATTCAGACCATCAGGGGTTAATGTTAGGAGTGTATCCTCAGAGATCACACTATATCACACATTTAAGATAGACCACCCCTGCTGATAATCCCTAAACTCAGAGTACCTACCTACCCACATTTGTTTTCAACTTAGAGAACAAAAAAAAGAGAAAAATCTAAATTGCATCAGTATTTGTTGAGACTACCTGCAGCCTTCACACCACCAGCGGGTCTTGTCTATACACTGGGACAAAGTCAGAGTTACCAAACAAGTACAAATCATCATCATTTTGACACGCAGGTTAAAACATAGTCATTGACTGAAACCGAAAATAGCATAGGAGGTTGTGTAGGAGGATTAAAACAGAGTTAAGAACAGGCAGACTTTGCTGCCATGCTATGGGTTGTGAAAGACCGTTAAATGTCTTAGGTCACACACACTTGTAGGACTACGGGTATAAACAAGATGTAGAGTAATTAAACCACATCACCATGCTCTCTCCAGGAATGGCTCTCACAGTAGACTGAGGTTTTAAGGTAACTTAATAAAGAAGACAAGGAAACAAGGCCGTGTGTCTCTACTGTGTACAGAAACATAGGAAGTGGTGCAAAGAAAAAAATGCAGCAGATGATGACCTCATGATTCATAATTTGAACTAGTTGACTGTGGGGAAAAAAAAAAGACATTAGCAGTCCAAATAAGTGACTGCAGGTATCATGAAAGCAAGGGGGTATATTTTTGTTAATGTTGTTTGGGCTTTGCTCAGGATAGATCATAAAAGCTGAGAAATACAATAAATTAGCTCCTCCCATGTAGTGACCCACCCAAAAGACACACCTGAAAAAATAAAGTGTATCTGGGATTAGATTATGGGATAAAAGACTTGTAACTACAATCAAAGATAGTCTACTGTTAGTTTTTAGATTTTCTTACTTCTCTGTATCTCCACCAGGATAATCGAGTGCCAGGAGCTGCCTTTGATTAGTGGGCAAAACTGTGACCCCTATGCCACCGTATCACTGGTCGGACCTGCCAGGTAACTCTGTCACTGCCAGACACGCATGTGTTACAACAGAGACCCAAAAACTGTTTACTAGGACTGTCAATAATTGAAAAGTCTAACCTTGAAATGAATAGTTAACATTAACATTTTTAGCGTTAACGATGGATTAATCACAATTTATTAATATTAATAAAATAATTAATAATGATTAATCATGAAACACATGATGAGCATTTAGATGGTATTTTAAGTTCAAGGTGCTTGGGTAAACCTTTTTATCCCCAATGCACGTACTGTGAATATCAACATGTGACTGCGTCATTCTGCCCATGAGTTAAAATGGGTTTTAAATGTCAGTATTATTTCACCAATGAATTAACACATAATTTTACCTGCCCTTTCTATTTACTGATGATGTCATGTTTAAGTGTATCTTGGATCTGTCGTATTTCTCACAGGTCTGACCAAAAGAAAACAAAGGTAAAAAAGAAAACCAGCAACCCTCATTTTGAAGAGACCTTCTCTTTTGAGGTAGGCTGTATTAAATGATTGGGGTGAAATGATTCAACACATTAAGAGAAAAAAAAAAGAAAGCAATATCATGTAAGTAACTTGTTCGTCCCCAGGTCACACGATCCAGCAGCTACACTAAAAAGTCTAATTTTCAAGTGGAGGAGGAGGACGTAGAGAAACTCGAGATCAAGTGAGTGTTTCTTGTTTTTAAATCCATCTTTTTCTCATTCTGATCCTCTCCCATCTCCCACTGTAGTCTTGATCGTAGAATAAAAATTATTTCCTAACAACCTGAGGACAGAAAAAGTGAATTTGGATCTGGTGTGTTCTGACTACTGATAGAGAGCCTTGGGTTCTGGTTAAGGATATGTGGGGCTTCCAACACAGTGGACTCATAGCTCATTGGGTAAGACTAGACAGTCAAAGGTAAACACTCATGCATGGTTTTGAGGTTTGGATTTGAGGTGGTGTCATTGCACGGGTATTTTAATTATTGTTTAACATTTTTGGCACCGATTGCAGGTAAGCAGTACTGGGTAGTCCCATTTACCTTGTCCCATTTACCATACTGCCCTCTGGTTTGTGCTGGAAGGACACACACTTTAATAACGTTTGTGATATCGTACATGTCGTTGACGTAGTGTTCTACCTTTATATACATTCTCCACCTTTGTAGAATTGATTTGTGGAACAATGAAAACCTGGCCCAAGATGTGTTTCTGGGTGAGACACGGGTCCCCGTCAAGATCCTGAAAAAAGACCACATCCACAAAGCCTGGTAAGGACAATTCAGAGTATAACGATGTAAGCACAAGCAGTATATTAGCATTATTAATGTGTCAGCTTGTTTTCTTCTTATCAACAGAAGTTTTTTTTTTTTTTTTAATTCAAAAGTAAACAAATGATTCTGTCAAATTGACATTTTTGTCACATTAGACAACCTATGAATAGAATTACGGACAAAATAAATAAAAATATTTAAGAAAAGGACATACAATACAACTTTTTGCATACTTTTTGTTTGTTTCCTGCTTACCAGTAAGCATACAGTATGTTTCACATGAGCACCATTTCCTGCTTCAAAAGATAAGTCTAAGAAAATTGACTAGGTGAGGTAAAAACTTCTGTCTTCCGTTCACCTTTAAACGAAGCACCTAGAAATCTTCAGATGTTTTAACACATTTCTGGTATCATAACAGAACAAATCTTACAGTAAGTCCAACTCTTGTCCTTTACCCTGATGTTAAAATTCCTCTAAACTGCTGACAATTTTGACCTACTTAAATAAAATAACATAACAACAACCGTGTAGGTATTTGTGCATCAAAAATTAAAAAAAAATTTAAAAAAATTCCAGAAACCTGGTAGAAATTCTTTACATAACGTGACGTTGAAGGTCATGCACATTCAGCAGCCCTTCCTTAACACGGTCTTTACGTTTATATTTTTACTTCTCTTCTGATTTTTTTTTTTTCCTTAAGGGTAGAAACCCTTAATTCTTTGCTGCCAATTTATTATTTGACAGACAGCTTGCTGGCAAAGCACAAACCATTAAGCCAAATTCATCTGCGCTATCCTGATTAACCAGATTTAATTTTGTTAATTTCTGTTAATTTCTTTTCTGTTAGCTTAAAGACTGGAGGGCATTTCTTCGTATTAGTAGAAATGACAAAGAAGCTAAAAGGTTGAAATAGTTAGGCCTTTTATCAGTTGTTCTTTTTTGAGAAACAACCTTATTAGATTTCTAGTTATACCAGAAATCCAGACAGAAAGTGTCAGACTAGCGTCGATGCAACGTTTCTCCTAAACATATCACGTCTGTATCAAGGGTCAGCTGGCTCCACTTACAACGGACTCTCCCTCTTTGTTGTGATTTCTAAAATATTGCTGCATTTATGTTTGTTTGGGTTTTTTTTTTTTTTAGACTATTCGCTCTTCTTGCTCTTCTTGGGTGTAGGTGGTTTGGGATTGTGCCAAATGGCAATTTGTTGCCAAATGTACATGGGTGGCATTCTACATGATGGTAGTATGTCACGTTTTAGGTACTCGTTTTAAGCACTCCGCCTCCTCAAAATGTTTGTTTAACATTATTCAGTCTAAGGGTTTATCTGGATGACATTATGACGGAATGACAGCTTTTTTTTTTTTTTAGGTGCTGAGCCAAGTCCCCATAAAATGTGTAAACGTGTGTTTTGCTCTATCTGGTGGCAAAACCAGAGAATTGCGAGCAGTTACAAAGCAAACAGAAAACCTAAAATTAGAAATGTGGACCAATGCACATGTTAATCAAATTTAAAATGTGGTGTAATGTGTTATTATTAATTGCACTAATAAATACTTATGTGTACAATATGTGCTAATTGCATTTGGTCCAGCTTTTCAAAACTCCTTACTTGGTTCAAAGCTCTAATTGCTTAACTGTATTAAAAAAAAAATATATCTATATATCTATATAATGCACAGGCCTGAAAGCTTAGTCCATAATCAGTAAAAGCATGAGTGAGTGAGTCTGAGGGGGGCAGATCTCAACTGTCCCACACAGAGCCCTGACATTATGAAAGTGTTCTTGGATGCACTAGAGAAGCTGGAGTAATGTTTGCCATTCTCATCCACAGCAGTAAAATTAAGAGTCTTTTCTTACGTTATGTCTCATAGGTATCTCCTTCAGCCTAAAGGAAACGGCAGCAAATCCAAATCTGATGATTTAGGTTCTTTGCGTGTGAAGCTGACCTACATAGAAGACACAGTGCTGCCCTCTGCCTGCTACACGGCACTCTGCAATCTGCTGCTCAAATCTCCAGATGTGAAGGTGAAAAAAACCGTATCCTGAAATGAGACCTTCGTGATCAGAAATGTATTTGATAAAGCATGATTTTTTTTACTTTCTGCTGTTTTGTTTGCTTTTTCACAGCCCATCTCAGCTTCAGCAGGGCACATCCTGGGTGACATCTACAGAGAGCGCTACGAGGCTATTCTGCCCATGGTTCGACTGCTGCTCCACCACAATAGATTTGTGTCTTTTGTCTCTGCTGTGGTGGCGCTGGAGCTCGAGAACACTCAGTGAGTTCTCACACACTAGTTGTAGGTGTGCACAAGTCATGATCGCACTAAAATCCCTTTTTTACAAATCTAAAATGTGTGTGTATGAACAGGGAGGCCAACACTATATTTCGTGGGAACTCACTGGCAACACGCTGCATTGATGACATGATGAAAATTGTGGGGAAGAATTACCTGGCGGTTACCCTGAAGCCTGTAGTGGATGAGGTATGAATAAGGTGACACAACATACACAGATCTAGTTGTTAGACTAGGGCTTGAGTCATTCGACGTGCTGTGGAAAACTCAGTGGAACGGCTGAATTTCTGTTAGCTTATATTATATATATATATATCAGTTTATATTTAAATATCAGATCTGTGTTCACAAGTAAATCACCTTTTGTAAAAACTACAGTCACTGGATTTTAGTGTTTTCACTTCACATGTTCTAATTCAGCCTGTTAAATCAGACTGGTGTCAATAACAGAACAGAACAGTAACATTCTGCTGGTGCATTTAACTGTTTTCCTGGCCTCAGGCAAAATTGTCATATTTAACATGTAAAACATAAGCAAATTACCTGTAGCTGTGAATATATGAATATGTTATTGTCATTCCAGGTCAGTATTACTCATCATATGTTTTGTTGTGATGTCCTTTTTATTCATCATCTGTAGATCTGTGAATCCAACAAAACGTGTGAGATAGATCCTGTTAAACTAAAGGAAAGCGACAACGTAGAGGTCAACAAGGTAAGAGTGTGTTTATCTTTCCTATAGAACTGATTATGATCTGATTACAAAGTCACTCGTACATTCTCTGATTATGATCTGATTACAAAGTCACTCATACATTCATTCTTTTAGGTATTTATAAATAAATTCTATATTTCAATTAAATGCATTTCATATCATCGCGAATCCATCAAATTATTTCAAACACATTTTCAACTTTTTTTCCCCTCCGTGAAGCGTTTTTTACTGCAGCTTGGTACTTGGTGCTCGGTTTTGCTTTCTTTGCAGGAGAACCTCCATGGTTATGTTCAGAAGGTGTTTTCCTGCATCACTCAGTCCAGTTCAAGCTGCCCCCCACTCATGTGTGATGTTTTCAGGTCACTCAGACACTTGGCCTGCAAGCGTTTCCCAGGTTAAGACACTTACATGTCATAAAGGCTCCTGTTGTATTTGTCAGATGTACACATTCAAAAAGAAAGTTTCCAATTAAGAGATTACAATTGTAACAGTCGGAAACACCATCATACAAATATTACATATTTTGTTGTATATTTACTTCTATTTTGTTTATAATCACCATCAATAATTTGAAGGAAAGAAAATGTTAGATTAATGATATATTTAGTATGTAAACAAATGTCTAACTCTATACATGTTAATGCTCATTTCTTTCAGTAATATTTAACTTTTTTTTTTTGTATTTTTCATGTGTGTTCTCCATTCACAGCCGACCCACACGTCCAGTACTCCGCTGTTAGCAGCTTCGTGTATCTGCGCTTCTTCGCTGTTGCTGTCCTCACTCCACACTCCTTTCAACTGCGTTCACATCACCCTGTGTGTTTAGGCAACAATATAGCACTGCTGTCTTTTCAGTAAATAACATTTAAACCTACAAAGGGGTTATTTTTTAATAAGAATTTAATACGAATTTTTTTCGTCTTTTAGGATCCTGAAATTTCTCGCACACTCACTCTCATTTCAAAAACCATCCAAACCCTGGGCAGCTGGGGCAGTTTGTCCAAGAAATTGGTAAGCTTGCAAAGGAGGACTGAATATAACCAACACCAATCAACAGTTGATGCTGTCACACACAAGCTGGGTGAACAAGCTTTCCCTGGCTGCATTTATTTATCCCTTTTTTTTTTTTTTTATCTTTCAGTCTAGTTTCAAAGAAAACTACATGTGTGACTTTTTCAAGTCATTCCAGGAGGACAAGTGTATTGAAAGGGTTAAAAAGGTATGTTTTTTTTTTTTTCATTTCATTTACACACTGGATCATTGAACATAAACTGCATTAACTGTAAATTAAAACTGTTACCATTTACACTTGTTACCGTCGATTCCCATTTCGCAGTTCCTTGATGAGATCTCCTCCAATGTAAGCAAAGAGTCCAGCGGGGTGGAGGATGCCGTGGTTCTCAAGGAGGGGTGAGTGGACCAAACTTGGTCTGTAGGAAATGATCAGTGGAGAAAAAAAAGCCTATAACTTACAATACAGTACATTTAGTAATGTACTGTTTTTCCAAAAAGAATTAGGTTAAAATAGAAACCTAATAGTAGGCAGACCAGAAAAGTATTAGTAATAGTATTAGTGTAGAAACATAGAGGTGGTACAGATTGCTCCAGATTTGACATCAAAAAAAAAGATTGAGTTTTTAAAAATAAAATTCTGAGCATTATTTGGTGTAATTTACATACATACTGTGGACCAAACTCAGTAGGGGTTCAGAGTAGGGTTAAATGCCATTTCTGCAAAATGAAGCCAACTTCAGTAGAGGTAGCTGATTAGTTAGCACTTAAATATTTGAGGTGTTAAACTCATGGGCTAAAATAACATCAGATGTTGCTGATTGAATAACTTACCGTTGTGTAGTTCAAACTAATACATTTAAGGCTTGAGCATGATTTTTGAACATTTAATTGCACATAAAAATAAAATGTAATAACTAGGTTTAGTCAGTGCAGCTTTATAGTGATGCATTTTATTTACTTTTATTTTTTTTTCGGTGCAACCTGTTTTTTTTTTTAATTCTCAGTTCTGTGTTTTTTTGTCGTTTTTTTTTTTTTTTTTTTTTTTTATAAAGAGAAGTGCAGAAACGGGCACAAGGAAGGAAACGACTGGGAAAGAAAAATTTTAAGAAGAGATGGCTTAGAGTGACCAACAGGGAGCTGTCCTACCACAAACATAAAGGTGAAAGTCTACTCTGAAGTTGAACACATTCAAAGACAAAGATCATAAATGTGAAAAAGCGTCCTCTACCCACAGCCTTTTGTATATTATTATTTGAAATATTTGCATGTTGTTAATTAGCAATTAATCAATTACTGTAAGTTTTTACATCTAACTCTACCCAAGGTCTTTGCTTGTTTTTATAGCGTTAAATTAATAATAATAATAATAAGTGTGTTCCAGGGAAAGAAGCCCTCTGCACCATCAACGTCAAACATATCCAGGCAGTTGAAAAACTTGACGAAAGTGCATTTAGCCGCAAAAATGTAAGCGAAAAACCTCCTCAAATCATCAATCGTAACACATTTTAATGTTCAACTCATTCATCATTCCAGTTGCATTACTGCATTAAATTACAGGACAATTATTACATATTCATTTTTTTTTGTTTGTTTGTTTGTTTGTTTGTGTCAGATGTTCCAGGTGGTCCACTCTGACAAGCCTCTATATGTACAAGCAGGAAACTGTGTAGAGGCAAGTGAGTGGCTGGAGGTCCTAGGCCAAGTTACCGGCTGCAACGAGGGTCGACTGGCTACGCACCACCCTTCAAATTACAGCGGCGGAGCCTGGCAGTGCTGCAAGAACCTAAGCATCAACACACCAGGCTGCAAACCCTGCACAACGTGAGTTTCTCCTCTCATCATCGCCTCCTGAATCGTCTTTTTTTTTCAAAGAAAATTCTGGAGCTAAGACAGAAAGAAATCTCAATCTAGAACAGTTACATAGATCTTTAAAGTAAAATTAAAATAAAAAAAATTTTGTTTTCCTTTATTGTGAGAAGTTTTCATAATCTTTTTTTTTTCTGTCATAGCATCATGTTGGCCAACCTGCAGCTTGACATCGACTGTGACCGGGAAACGGAGAGAATTTTCTCCCTCCTCTCCTCCAACAGTACCAAACTGCAGGACATGGAGGGTGAGTGTCAGCTTATAGAACACACAACCCTTCAAACATCACATGTCAATTTGATAACAAGTGTCACAAATCATCCTGACTATATGGGGTAAACTTTCAGCTAGACTAGTGCTTAACATTGAAATCAAGTGGAAGAAGAAGAAGAATCAGTTTTATATGTACATGGACACATATACAAAACAAAATAACTCCTTCACATTTTCCCATACATGGGTAGTAGTGGGCTGGGGGGGGAGGGAGTGAGGGATGACCTTCAGAGACAAATGTATGGCCAATGTCTCTTACCAAATCCTTAACCTGCCTGTGAGGTACCCATCGTGATGACCTGTCTCCTCTTCAAAGATGCTTGTGCCAGCATGGCGGTGTACCAAGGTCCTCAGCGGGAGCAGGAAGAACACTCCAAGTTCACCATTCAGGAACCCAAAGAGACATTTCAGACACTTAAGCAGCTCCGCAAAGTCATGGTGGAACTTCAGAGGCAGCACAACATCAGGCATGACGCCACGGCACAGTACGGCAGCCTGTAAGTCCCTTCTTCTGCTGGGTCTACGCAGATTCTGCAGAGGTCCTAAAGGCATCATTGTGACTGGAAAACAATTATATAAATCAGTCTTTCAAATTGTTTTGCTCTTCCCTCTGCAGAGAGGTCTTTGTTCTCCTTATACTCTGTGTGGCAAACCAGTAATAAAACCACTGTTTCTCCCTCTGTGTTTCAGGGACAACCCTATTGTGGGAAAAACCTCCTAACCAGAGTTTAAGCAGGTGTGGCGTGTGTGAGAGACATCCACACCAGCAGGTGTCACTGCATTACACACGTGACACCCCATTACACACGTCACTCCCTCCGACATCCTGAAGGAACTCTGGGAGTTTTTCCCCTCTGAGAGCTGCTGCTGCTGCATGTCCAGGAGAAAAACAACTGCAAACACCCTGACCTCCAGACATCCTTACTCCTGTTGTTGGATATGTATGGATCATGGGTTTTTCCAGGATCTGCCCTTGTCTTCTCATATTACCTCCTCCTCTTAAAGGGGGGTCTTTTTACATCCCTTTTTCATCCTCTCTTCTCCAGCTGTAAAAAGAAAAGACATCAGTGGATTAAGTGTGAATAGGCTGCTATTTTATTTTTATTCACCCAGTTTTATCTCAACAGCTGCAGAGAAAGTTTCTCGTCTTTTCCAGCGTGTGGTGTGGAATCGATTATCATTCCCCAATTTTTTTTTTCTTTGTGCCACTTGTGCCCAAGTACATTTAAAGAAAAAAAAAATTATATATATATTTTTTTCTCAGTACAGCTAAAAGACCAGAACCAACATGCCTTATACTGATGGATGTTTTGTTTCTTTTAGATAAAATGCTGAGGGATTAGAGCAGAAGCACTTTAAATATTTGGAGCTCTCCAAATGCACCTTGATTATTGGATACGTGGTATCAGCCCCCAACCTCATATGATCAGTTACATGATCTTGAATACGTTTTCGCCTCGCTGTACAATAACGTTGATAACCTGTGGTTTTTAAGATATTTTTCTCAACCAAAGACAATTTCATAGGTTTGACTTGAAATAGAAAATGTATATTTTAAAAATATATATGTATGTGTGTGTGTATATATGTGTATATATACATATAAAGACTGTATGTGTGTGTATATATGTATATATATATATACATATAAAGACTATGTGTGTGTGTATATATATATATATATACAGATATATATATATATATATATATATATATATTTAGACTATATGTGTATATGTTTTTTTTTTTACTATTAACCTTTCACTGGGGATTGCATGCGATCAGTTTTGAACCCTGACTAGCATATGACTGTGGTGTAAGAGATATGCTTTTGCCGTGACTTGTGAATCGTTTAATGCGTTGTCTTGAATATCCTTGCTGCCGAGTCAAGAGAACCACAACATATCAGCATGAAAAGAATTCAAAAGATGGAGAAAAGGGCAGAAGGGAAGAAGCCCCCCCACATAAATGTTTTTATTTTATTTATTGACATAACTGTGCAACACGAGCTGCTGTACGTAAATTCATTTGAAGAGGAGAATACATTTTTAAACCTGTTAGTCATAGCAATCCAGTGCCATCGCAGACTGGCGTTGAATTGTAAAACGAATAATTGTTTTATTATTTCTTTTTTATTGTAAATGAACCATTTTTGCACTGATGAAGTGGCTGGTGTCCAGATGAGTTCTTATTATCAATCATAATTTGTCGAACTTTGCATCACTAGACAATATGACAGGAAAAAGCAAACTGTTGACTTTAAAGATATACAATTTGAAGCATTATTTTACATTTTTCTGCTTTGAGTTTTGAGTTAGTGCGTCTGCTCACCTTTACTAATCGGGTGACTGTCATTCAGTCTTCGTCGAGTCATTTTTTAAAATGAATTATTTCCCCCATTTGAATGGTGATTCTGAAAACAAACAAGAAAAGCTTAAACTAATTTTAACATAAAGCTCGATCATTTAAATGCTGATAACAAAAGGTTAACCGTGTTTTAATTGAGCTTGTAGGAGTACGTTTTGCCTTTGGTCCATCACAGATTTCTAACATGCATGTCTTGTAATTTTAAAAATATATTTTTATAGAAAAACATTTTTTAATATTTTTTAAACACTGATTTGATACGTTGCAGGTACGGTATCTTTTGTTCTTTTCTACAACATGGCTTTTTTTTTTTTACTGTATTTTTACTTTTTGTAGCTGCCTTCAAATATGTCGAAGGTATAAGGCGTTACACCATTAATCATGAGCCAAATACAATTGCAAAAGGATTGATTTAAGGAATTTGTAAATAGATGTTGATCCTTTTTTTCTGTTAAGAAAAGAAAAGAAAAACTAAACATTCACTAAATGTGAATGAATCAGAGCTTGAAGCTAGTGGTAAATATATTCTGGATAATTTTTGTGTGTCCTGTTTTTACTAAGAGCTATTAAATTGACAGTTGATACTCTCTGGTTGTCTTGATTTCTTTTTTACAGATCATGTTGATTCTTGCTCTTTGTTGCTGAGTCTGTTACTGTCTTTAAAAATAAACCGTTGAAATAGAATTAATCAAATATGAAGGTAATGTCATTTTGAAACATATACAACATACAATAAGAAATCATTGATTCCAAAGGATTACAAAAGAAATTTAGTTTAAATCCAAGATTAACTATAAATACTATACTATAAACTTACTAAATTTAGTGGCTTCAGCATGAACTAGTCTTAATTACTATCAAAGTAATATGTAGTTACAACAGATTTAATCAGACAGACTGTTTTAATACCCATAAAGGACTTAGACATTATCCCTCTGCTAATGAACTCAAATGTACTGTCACCGTCCCAACAAGGGCCTTCTGTCTCAGCCGCACCGCTGCCACCTGTAGCTCTCTGGCAGCATTCCACTTCCTGCGGCTCTCAATGGTAGCTGCTGCCACCTTGTGGTCTCTTGAGTCTCTGTACTGCAAGGCCTTTGTCCGTGTCACCACAAACTCTTCATATAGGCCACAATGGGGGGGCTGGAGGAATATATATATTCCCCAAACACAACTAATCATCTTGATGCGTAATACTAAAGGAGTTTTACTTCACTCTCCATTTGTTATTATTGAAACAGCATCCTCTTCAGTTGTCCTGTGGATACTAGATTTACTGAACCGAAATTTAAGGATTATTGTGCCGTCCATCCATTTTGTCAGGATGGCAGTGATGCCTTCAGGTGTTGCTTAAAAATGCTATTTAAATATGCGTTGAGCTATTAATTTAAGTTTTTGGGGAAAAGACGAATGCGTAAAAACGTGAGCGATGGTGGTCGATATGTATACAAAACATTTTAAGTGTTAAGAGTTAACTGATTCTATCGGCGCTTAAGCATTTTAAACTACATTAAAAAATATCCAGTAATATTTCGATGTTGGAGTCACGCTAGAAATAAAGTGAAAACCATATGGAATGGAATATTCCATTCTAGATAACTCTGGGTAAAATTAAATACAACATAAAACACACAATATTTTAATTATTTTTGAATTTTTAAGCAGAAACAAAGCACTTGAACCTTTCGCATTCGTTGTTTCGATGTAACAAGCTGTAAGTTACATTTGTCCGAGAAGAACGTGAAAGCAACATTTGCGTAGCCTTGCAAATACTGCATCTCACTGAGCAGTAGAGATGGATGACGGTGACGAGTCAAGTGTAGTTCTTTCTCACAACACTTCCTCTGGTTCTAAGTCGGGCGGAGACAAAATGTTCTCCCTGAAGAAATGGAACGCCGTGGCGATGTGGAGCTGGGATGTTGAATGTGACACCTGTGCTATCTGTCGTGTGCAGGTTATGGGTAAGTGCCAACGCTAGCTCAGCCTAGCCTAGCGCCTAAGCTTTAGTAGTTGCTAATACGGCCTAGCGTCTTAGCTTTACAGAGGCTAATATGCTGCGTACTGAAATTCCCGTTTAGGTACAATGACATGTCACTTTTCGTTTCAGACGCTTGTCTCCGATGTCAGGCGGAAAACAAACAAGAAGATTGTGTTGGTAAGAATATCTCAGCATCACTCCTTATAGCCTCGCTAGTACTAGCTTCTCTGTTTGTGTTTCAAGCAAAGTGCTCAGTATGTTTATTCCTAAACTAGCTGCCCTTTTTTTCTAGATTGAAAGAATAAAACTGCCGCTTTCACTCACAAATTAGAGTGTATGGTGTCATACAGATGATAAAGTACTATTTAAAGCTAAGTAATCAACCTGTTACAACAACCTTAAGGGGCCGTACAAAATACCTTTGGGGTATTACATAGTAGTTTGGGGTATAACATAGTAGTTTGATTGAACTACTAATATGGTAGATTCTCACAAAAAAAGCTTTTGCTACATGACGGATATACCCAGACTGACATTTGAGATTACATGGCACATCAACACTGTTGCACAGAAAGAATAGGCAATGTTTGCACATTCTCATGATGAGCATATGATATAATTATCTTGATTGTGACACATGGGATGCTCTGTAAGGAAGCTTATAAAGTAAAACTCAGGCTCATTTTTATTCAGTTTTAAAAGAAATTGGTTTGCACTAGTAAAATCGTCTTAACTTTATGCTCTTAATTCTGTGTTTCAGTGGTCTGGGGTGAGTGTAACCACTCCTTCCATAACTGCTGCATGTCCCTGTGGGTAAAACAAAACAATCGCTGCCCCCTCTGCCAGCAGGACTGGGTGGTCCAGAGAATCGGTAAATAAGCTCTACTGCACATAGAGAGGATCATTCTTTGAGACTGCTCCTATGTGGACCCAAATTGTCATTGTGAACTCTCCAAGAATCATTGCTGCAACATGTGCAGTGCTACTGGCATCATTGCCCACCTTTCCTACTGTGTAACTACCTGTTCCTGTCATTCTGGAGACAAATGGATGATGGATGGACAAAATCAAAGCAACACTGACATGATGGTAGTTGTCGCTGCTGAGACTAAATCTTGAAGAGATGGATGAAATTTGTTTTGCAAGATTAAGTTACATCATTATCTGTGGTGCATAGCACATCAAATGTGACAGTCTTTTTAAAAAATAAAGAAATGTGAATAGCTGTAAATATTTATCTTTGTACCAGTTCTTATTGACCATATCTATAAGCTCACAAAGTTCGTCTTTGTCACAGCACGTTTTTTAGGTTGATGCAGTTACAGAAATTGTAACCAATAGGATGTCATTAGTTTAGCTAGTGGGGATTTTGCAACGGGTCATTGAGTATGAGGCACTAGGTTTTAAAGAAAGCTATTTTAGCAACAATGGCCAAATGTATACCTAAGAATCAGCCATCAGTTGCACTGAAAAGTTAGATGGCGTTGCTCTTAATCAGTTATAGAAGGTAATATAAAGTAGTAGATGTGGTGTAGCTCTTCATTTGCAAAGTGCTGTACTTGATTTTGCAAAAGTAAAGTCCTGAAAGAGGATCACAATTAGATCTGCTTGTGACACAAAGACTTCCATATTAATGTTCAACTTGTTGGAAAACAAATCCTTTACTTAATGATTTTCTTTAATTACATAAGACTTGTGAGGGTGTTTGCTCTCTGACTGTACAGTCCAATGTGAACATTGGTTGCAAATCATTGCTTTTTTTCAATTTAAATTTCAGGGAAACAACAAGTGACTTCAAATGACAACAGTATAATCCAACTGTTTATTAAATATATAATGTCTTCTTTTTTTTTAAGCAATGTCTTTGAATTTCCAGTTGCTTACTTTATTGTTGCCCCTCTCCCTCCAGTAATGGGAGAAAATTAACATTTCTCTAATAACTATGGTGCTCATAGTTATTAGAGTTCACACAAATTTCACTATCTCTTGCATCTCCTAAAAATAGACCAGCCCAAAGCTGCTTAAGTTTAAAGCCTCCAGGCTTCAGGTTGCCTTCTTTGACAGACATCTACAAACGTGCGTGCAAAGTCACTTAGCTGCTGATAAATCCCTGAGAACACAGCTACTGCTAAAGCTGACCCAGCCGTGGTCCAGGCGATGCAGGGTAATTGTAATGCTGATACCTCTGGTGCTCAGTTATGGAATGATTCTACAGATGAGTGAAAAAAGTCTGTCAGCTCTGTAGCTGCCTGCTGGCATCCAACAGAAGACATCCAACATGGTTGATCTGACGGGATGGAACAACCTGGTGGCTAACACGGCTTACCTGAAGGCTCAGCAGATCGATCGCAATGACCTGAGAAAGCAGTGGCTCAACTTGTCACTCCCGAAACCCAGAAGCTCCTCTACTCTGCTTGCATTTGGAGGCAAGACATACGAGTCACTGTGTGAGCAGCAGCCTATTGGACGAAAGTTGTTCCAGCAGTTTCTCCTCTCTTCTAAACCTCAATATGTGGCTGCTGCCCAGTTACTGCAGGAGCTGCATGACTGGAGTTTTTCAGAAGAGAAAAGCGAAAAAGAGAAGATCAAACAGAACATCCTCATCAAGTATCGTCAACCTCAATTCAGGAGCATTCTGTCTTGCCCTGCAGAAGAAAATGCTGAAAGATGCAACAGTTTATCCTGCAGTCACGTCAACGAGATGACAGTGGACCAAACAAGAGAAGTCATCAAAGTTTTCCTAAAGGCAAACCCTTTCCATGAGTACATGAGGAGCCCGTTCTTTTATAAATTCTTGCAATGGAAGGAGTATGAAACACAGAAGATCAGTGACAAATACTTTTACGAGTTCAGGACTTTGGGCAAAGGTGGTTTTGGCGAGGTAGGTTCCTGATAAATGAGGATAAATGGTCTGAAGGTATACAGAGCTATTCTAGTCACAGTGATCACTTAAAGGGCTTTACACTACAGCTTTTGACCTAATTAACTGTTAACTCTTATGACAGCAGGGCCATCAGGAGGGAGATGTGTAGACCAGCAGACAGGAATCAAATCAATAACCCATGTAAATGTCTAGGTTCTCAGTCATCCAGGTCATTTAATCCAAAAAATAGTTACATCGAGGGCAAGTGGACAAAGTAGTTTGTTTTTTTTAAAGACCTACTTTGTCCATTGTCCAATCCCAAAATGACCAAAAGTGCTTTTCATTTGAACTTAAAAATTTGACACAGTTCGTGTCCTAAAATGTTAAAATGCTTTTAGTCTTTTCAACACCATTAATTGGTGAAATGCCAGCGTTGCAGGGAAGTATAATAAATATAAATAAGTAACAATTTGAACTACTTTGGCAAGCTTATTTTGACCATGCCTCGTCGTAACAAAATCTTTAGACCGTTGCATTTAGAAGCAAGGATAAAAAATTGTGGATTGGGCCAGAATATTTGAGAATGGCTCCAAGTAGGTGTGTCTGGTGCATAATGAATGGCTGTTTGCAAAATAGGTCTATGACATAAATCGGTATCTCTAAAAGTTAGAATGCATGATTTCAACCCCAAAACCCAACAGATCACACATTGAACCAGCACGATTATACGAAAAAATATTATTTAAGTTACGTTAAGTTTCTGAAGAAGATTCTGATTGAAGTCTATTGTATGGCTGATCATAGGGATGGAGGAAAATTCAATTAAAATATTAATTAAAGTGATCAACACTGTTGTTATTTTCCACTATGTGGCAGGTGTGTGCGGTGCAGGTCAAACACACGGGTCAAATGTATGCCTGCAAGAAGCTGGAGAAGAAGCGCCTGAAGAAGAAAGGCGGCGAGAGGATGGCCCTCCTGGAGAAGAAGATTCTGGAGAAGGTCAACAGCCTCTTCATTGTGAACCTGGCTTACGCTTACTCCAACAGGACCCACCTGTGCCTGGTCATGGACCTCATGAATGGAGGAGACCTCAGATTTCACATCTATGAGCTGGGCGAGCGGGGTATCAGTATGGAGCGTATGGTTTATTACGCGGCCCAGATCACAGTTGGGATCCTTCACCTTCATTCCATGGATATAGTATATCGGGATATGAAGCCAGAGAATGTGCTGCTGGATGCCAAGGGACAGTGTCGGCTGTCAGACCTGGGCTTGGCCATAGAGCTGCCCAAGGGCAAAATGATCTGCCAGAAGGTTGGTGGCCATGACCTATATTAACCTAATTAACCTACACAAGAAAGATGATTTCTAGGTAATTAACCTGGAAAACACATACAAAGAGTAGTTTTATTTTCACCACTATAAGAAGCTTAGCAGGAATATATATATGATGATTCTTATCTGTGCTTTGACGGACAACAGGGTCAGGTGTCTTACACTGTATAAACCAATGGATCTCATTAAAAGCTTCTCTTAGTCACCGGCAGTTGGAAGTCTTACTGCCTTAGTGATGTCACAGAGATTGGTCAGTGGCTGTGGGCTTTAGCTTAGTCAACTTTGCTCTACTGACACAAGACTCAGCATGCTGTAGCTCCAGCGACTCAGGTGAGGAACAACAGGGGTTTAACCCTGTGAACTGACTTATAGTTCCTGTGAATTTGTTTCAGTCATGCCTGTAATTTTATAGAAACCCTCAATAATAATTTATTAATAAATAATAAATAATTAGTTCATAGGTTCCATGCATGATGAGGTCATGTTTTTTTGTCTAGATTTGTACTGATGAATCTATGCCTAAGGGTAAATAAACAACGTCACGCACAGGTGTATAAAGTCATCACGCTGTCAATGTACATTCTATGTGTTAAATGTATTTTAGTCTGTTCTATTTTCCTTTTTCTGTTCCCAACTACTCTACTCTACTTGTTTCTATTCCATTCTATTGTACTATCCTCATTCTAAACTACTCTACTTTACTCTACTCTACACTACTTGTTTCTTTTCTATTCTATTTCACTGTCCTTTTTCTGTTCCAAACTACTCCACTCCACTGTACTCTACCCTAATTGTTCCTATTCTATTCTATTTATTTTTCAAACTTTACTTGTTTTCTAGTCTCTAGTCTAGTCTAGTACGTATATCACTCTACTCTACTCTTGCTCTGATAAACTGCTATTACTTTATTGTACTCTACTTTTTTTGCCAATTCCCTTTGATGTTATTCTATTTCATCTCTACTCTCCTCTCTGTGTGTTCTCAGGCTGGTACCACTGGCTACATGGCCCCGGAGGTCCTTAGGCAGGAGAATTATCATAAATCTGTGGACTGGTGGTCTCTGGGCTGCAGCATCTATGAGATGGTCGCCGCTCGACTGCCGTATAAAGACTTCAGAGAGAAAGTGCATAAAGAGGAGGTGACTCGACGTACACTGGAGGACGAGTGCAGGTTTCAGCAAAAACTCTTTGACGCTCACACAAAATGCATTATCAGTCAGTTCCTGATGAAGAAGGTGGAGCACCGTCTTGGCTGTTGGTAAGGGGGAAAAAAGAAATCTTGTCACAGTTTCTTAAATGCACAAAACTCATTCAACATAAAGAGAAGAACAGGTTGGGCAGAGAGTGGGGACATGAGCCTGAGGGTCAGGAAACTCAGATGTAGCTTTTTTTTATTTTTGAATTTTTTTTTCCTTCTATTTAGCTTTTTCTGTCACTGATTATAGTTAAATTCACTCGTTTATAATGAGGTTTGGAGATACGTTGTGAAAGAGTGGACAGTGTCCTTCGACACAGGGGTTTTATAGTGTAGCGGTTAGCACACCTGCCTCAGAAGCAGAGAGCAGAGAGTCCTGGGGTTCTCTATAGGGGCTGTCAGTGTGAAAATAACGAACATGTACATTTTCAGTGGTACAGGAGTAGCAGATACGGGTACACAAGCCTAGAGTGCCCTCTAGCGGCTGTCAGTGTGAAAATAACGAACGTGTACATTTTTAGTGGTACAGGAGTAGCAGATACGGGTACACAAGCCTAGAGTGCCCTCTAGCGGGTGTCAGTGTGAAAATAACAAAGACGTGAAGTTATATATTTTAATATATATGTCGCACCTGAGAAAGTCACAAACCCAGTCCCAATGAAGAAAAGTGCAACTTAGTGTCTGGAAAATATGGTATATGTTAATATATATATATATATATATACCGCGACATAATGTTTCTGAGATAAACGCGAGGCCTGTGTATATATATATATATATATATGGCACTGCATATATATATATATATATATATATAATACATTATTATACTGTATATAAACAATGCACTGAACAGTCTTTACTACTTTAGTGGTCCTGACCCAAGGAGCCACGTGTTCTTTAAGAGCATCAACTTCGATCGACTGGAGGCCGGGCTGATCGGGCCACCCTGGGTGCCAAAGTCCAATGTGGTCTACACCAAGGATGTGGACAACTTCGAAGCCAGCTCCGAAGTCCCGGACAACAAGCCGGATGAAAAGGATGAGAAATTTTTCCGAGAGTTCAGCACCGGTGCTGTTTCCATCCAGTGGCAGAATGAGATGATTAACAGCGGCGTGTTTGACCAGCTTAATGATTCCAGCCTAAAAGAAGACCGTTTTCAAAGTGCATGGAAATCCAAAATGTGCATCATACTGTAATCAGCGTATTATCTTATTAGTGATGCACGGTGATGCAGCCAACACAGTGCACATTTCAACATGCTGCCTTAACTTAGGAAACTGAAGCCTTTAAATCTGTATAATACTCAACAAAGGAGAATCCTCTTGAAGTAAAGTATGGTAATTTTTTTTCTAAGTTTTTCTAAGCAACAGGTTTTGTTTTGCCTGCGTTGCCTGCTATGCCTCAGAGGAAACACACACTGGCACTGCGCTGCTTCTGCTCTGCCCTCCATTCTCAGCTCCCAGTGCTTTCATACTTTCCATTACATCACCGCGTCATCCTTGCAGACCGTAAGTGTTTACATGTATGAGGAAACAGTCTGCAGAAGGCTCCCGTGTCACCGAACAGCAGCAGGATTTTATGATCAGTATTTGCAAGAATGTGCCACATTTGTTGGATAGGAGCGCATGGTCGCGTAAATGCTATGAATGCCTTTCTCTCAGATGGAACAGTCTCATATGACCTCAAACTCAAAGCTGTAGCGAGCTCTCAACACCAGATGGCACCTAACATCCAATCAAGTGCTTTTAACCTACTGCAGAGTTTTCCATCTTCCCAAATAGTCCTGGCGCTGGTATTTACAAGCGCTACATGACTTGTTTACCATTAACAGGGAATCGCTGTGAGACAAATTGCGCACAGATTTTCCACTCTAACATGCTAAAAAGGCCTCTTCTTTTTATTAGCATCGAGTGCTAATCCACCTATAATTAAACATGATTACCTCAGTGGGTACCAGACGCACAGAATGCAAAAAGTAATGTAAACAACACACAACATAGCAACAACTTTAATATACTGTGTATCTTTAATGTGATGTTTACAAATGGGCATTGTAAATTTATTTACCTTGTATATGTGTTGTTTTGTTTGTTTTTTTTTAAATTTGGTCCCAAAAGTGTTATGTGAATTGTTTGGACTATGATGTTTACACTCTTGTTGTGATACTTGTATTTTACTTTTACTTATGGCATTTGTGTCCCTGTCAATGTTTTCTGCTCTTGTACAATAGCAGTAGACTGTTTTGTGTTTTACAATAGAACAGTGTACTGTACAGTAGAGTTGGGTAATCAAAGCATGGAACAAACAATAAGTTGTGGAGCTGTTAGACGATGAAGAAAACAACTTTAATTGCATCCTTATTTGATATACCTAATAACAGATTCAATATAAATAATAATAATAATAATAATAATAATAATAATAATAATATAATAATAATAATAATAATAATGATAATGATAATGATAATGATAATGATAATGATAATAATAATTTAAAAAAACATTGTTAAACTGTAATTTTCCAACATGAAAAAATATTTTAGACTTGTTCACAAAACTCTGTAACCTCTTGTCAGTTGCATTTCGTTTCAGTTTTTTGACCACTTGCAAAAATGCAAAACTAAAGATAAAGCGCACATTTCTGCAGAAGAACATACAATTTTTTACTTTTTTTATTTTAAGAAATGTTTCTCACCAGAGACTTGGGCGCACACCTGCAGACAATCCATTCATCACCGAGTATTTAAGGGATGGACACAATGAAGCCGGCGCCAGAGTGTTGTATACCAATGGTCCCCAACTCCCGGACCATGGACCGACGTCGGTCCGTGGGTCAATTGGTACAGGGACACACAGAAAGAATGCATAACTTACATGATTTCTGTTTTATTTATTATCTGATTCCGAACAATTTATTTATGTTGAAAAATTACTTGATTCTCTCCTTCGCATCTGTCTATGACTCCCACTTGATGCAGGTCAAGATGCTCATCTCGGTCACATGTCTCACCTTCATCCACTACCTTCTTTAAATTTGTTCTCTGACAGGTAACACATAATACATCACCACTAAAATGAAACCCCCAAGCTAGCAAAATGAACAGAAAGCAAATGTCTTTGGAAAGTTTCTATGCGCTGGTAAAAGAGTCGGTTAAGAGACAAAAAAAGAAAAAGAGTCTCCGTCTTCAAAGAAAAAGAAAGCTACATTTAACAGGAGTTCATGAGATATGGATTTATTGCGACAGGTTGTTGCTGCATAATACGCAGCGAACGCCTCTCTAAAAAGGCAATGAAGCCTTCAAAACTGAGCTTTGCCACATGTAACCAAGCATTCTGCATTAAAAGACAAGTGCAATGTTACTTGTGTTAAATTCGTAATAAACGTTACATCTGTAAAACAAAATTCAGACATTTAGCCGGTCCGTAGCGCAAAAAGAAGAATCCTCTAGCGCTGCTACTGCTGCTCCCATCAAATGGAACGTGCGACAACAAAAACAAGAATGATAATTAGAGACTCTTTTGAAACATTTACAGCATTGGACAGTATGTTGTGTTATAGTTTGGTTTTTTTTTTCAACATTATATTTATTGACATTTTCTTGTATACAAATACACTTGTATATACACAATTCAATCAAATTCGTAAACCAGTGACCCATTGGGGGGGTGCCCCCCCCCCCACTTTGGAAACCTCTGTGTTAAAATAATTTTCCTTCCAAGGAACCAGCTCATAACACCTCATTAGTCCCAACCACTAATTGCTATAGGACAGGCATGGGCAAACTTTTTGACCCTAATTGCTATAGGACAGGCATGGGCAAACATTTTGACCCTTGGGCTACAATCGTCGTAAAATTGAACAGGGGGGGACAAAAGGCTTTTATCATTTGATATGCCATCTATTGGGGAATTTTGGGTATTGCAGGGAAAAGGCAGAAGTATAATGGTAATATAAATAAATTATACTATTTGGGAGTGGCGCTTTGGCCCAGAGGCAAGGTCTCTGTCATTGGTGTGGAACCCCAGGGTTCACCTCCTGGGCAAGTTCGAATCCCGGTTAGGGCGGTTAATACCTTTCAGTGGACTCACCACGAAGGTTTGAGGGGGTTTGTACGGTGCAGTGTGATTTGGGTGGAGACTGCTGCCCCCGCGACCCGGTAACGGATAAGCGGATGAAAATGGATGGATGGATGGATACTATTTGGGAAAGTTTGGAGGGCCCAGGGGCCAGATGCGGCGAATATTTGCACAGTCTTACTATAGGACATACGTGCATGATGGAATTGAGGGATTGCTTATCTTGAAGCATAGATTTCTCACCCTCCCCAAACAATTGGGATTAGTGCAAGGAACAGGAAGATGTCTGTCTCTTCGGGTTTACGGAGACCACAGTGTTGAATCCTCCTAATGAAAACATAACGCCAACTCCGTATTTGACTGAGAATGTGTCACCCTGATCCGTTCATCAGCAGTGAAACAGTCATAAACATCAGACATATCGAGACAGCAACATACACATTAACATGTGTCGTGATAATTCCTGGGAGGGCCTGATTTGTACGAAGTGGAACCGTTCCGTTCACTTGCTGCTGTCGTGAGATTAGAGCGTGGTTCAGATGGAAATCCAAGATGTAACCTGATTGTCACCATTTTTTTGCAGGCAAAGTCCATAGCGGACGACGTGATGACAAGAGAAACTCGGCACAAGGAACATGTTTTTACCAGGCGTTTACAAGTCACTGCCACGGCTCAGTTCCCTGCGGTTCAAACAAACTATATCAGCACCTTTGTGTTGTACACCAGGCGTTTACAAGTCACTGCCACGGATCGGTTCCCTGCGGTTCAAACAAACAAGCTATATCAGCACCTTTGTGTTGTAACCACCCACACAGAAGAATGTTCATGAACCACAAGAACATCTGATAAACATGCACACACACACACACGCAAAAAAAAAACAAAACTCTTATATTCCATTATATATAGACATTTTCTATATACAGTGGAACCTTGAGATATGAGCAGGACAGAGCTTGTAACTCGAGGTGTCTCGTATGTCGAGGCGCTCATATCTTGAGGTTCCACTGTGTTACTATATTTGTCCGCCTGGTTTAAACAAATAGCGGACCTGTGGACCATATGCATCTCTCAGACATAACCTCAGAATGGCCCAGTTGGGCCCATCAATGCATCACTTGTGTGACTGGAAGCAACATGTCTTTGAAATAGTCATTTATTCCTACATAGACTGAAATACTATAATAGAAATAATTTTAATTATTACAGAAACAGTCGTGTGTTGCAGAGCGCTTGTAAACATATTTTGAGCATCGTAAAATACCAAGAACTGGACACATACGCGCGCGCGCACACAGTCGTATTACATCAGTAAAGGCAGACTTGTGGTTTTAGAAGATCAAAGTAAAGACATGGTGTAATTTGGTGTCTGCGTTTGCTACATGCCTCTGCTCTGGCCTCACTTCAAAGACACGTTCCACACTTCAGCTCTGCCCTGGCATCTCGGGACCGTTTCAGGCCGCCCACTTTTACTTATCTGTGTTTGGGTCTACGATTGTGCACATTTACACACGTGTGTTTTCGTGAATGTCAAAAAAGAAAACCACCTTGTTTTTTAACTATATTTGCCCTCTGCTGCATCTGTGAAAGTGCAAGTGAGTACTTAATATAGGTGAGAAAGTAGTTACACAGTGGAAACATCCATCCATCCATTTTCATCCGCTTATCCGTTACCAGGTCGCGGGGGGCAGCAGTCGTCACCTAAATCACACTGCACCGTACCAACTAGTGATGTGCGGATCGATCCTGAAATATCGATACTTGCGATTCTGGATCTTTATGCTCTGAAATCGATTCTGAATTCAAAATATTGATACTTTTGATACTTACGCATTCTGAGATGAGGTGTATCCTAAACAGAAACATGGTGAAAAGTATCCAAATTATTGAGATGTTGTCTAAGTGACGCTCGGTTGGTGGGACTACTTCTTCTTCCGCCTGGGTGTGTGCGTCATGCGTAAGCACAGGGGCTCTACTCCGTGCTCTCACTCAGTCACTATTGATGGGAATTTCGGCTCTTTTTTGGAGAACCGGTTCTTTTGGCTCGGTTCACTGAAAAAATCCGACTCTTTCGGGTCCCAAATGGCTCCTCAGATTATTTATTTTATTTTTTTATTTATTTTTGTTTTACAAATAACATGTTTTCAGAGTTTGAAACATTGTTTTGACATATTTTATATGATTGTGTTCTCAAGGTTTTCTATTGTTGTGTTGACTGTATAGTAAATGAGGCAGCTACCTCAGTACACTCCAGAGTTT